AAAACAAGAGAATAAAAGTGCTATGTTCTTCCCAACCTCTTGAAAAAGTAGAACTCTCACAATATCCCAGTGCTATGCCACCATGACACAGCCAATTAGTTCAGAATCTATACAGATGTTTCATCAAACGACAATTTTAAATGTTACATTTTATGCTTGTAATTGCTGCATTGGAAGGGAAGGAAGCACATTCGGCAGAGAAACATTTTTCTTTAAACAACAACAGCCTTGGAGAACTGTTTATTCTTTATTTGTCAGCAACATTTTCATAAAGGCAATGTTTTTCTAAAAAAAAAAAAAAAAAAAAAAAAAAAGCTGAACTGCTTGGTATGTCAGAATGGATGGGTCACTCGAGTTTCAGTGAGTGGTGTAATCATGGCAGTGAATCACAATAAATAATGAAGTCTAATTAATACAAACGTAGGAAATGCTACTGTTAGGGAGGTTTCCACTGAAATACAGTTTTGAAAATAGGGATATCTTCCTCTGCAGGAAAAAAGAAGAATGTTTCCAACTCTTGCTAACATATGGTACTTAACAAGAAAAGCTGCATATTGTAGTAATATTTAACTTAAATCTCAACCGCCTAGATTAGTCCTGTAATATGACTTTATTTACAATTTTAATATATTTCCAGACGAAGATACAACCTTTATCTTCAGTGCTATTTCATTATTTGTCAAGAATGGGAAACAAGGCAGAGAAACAGAATCAGCACAATGTTTTGCACAAAGCCATCCAAGCTCACAGTCATTCAGTGAAAGGCTACGTGTTTCAAAACATGCAGCTGAAGGTCCTGTTACAAGGAACAGCTACATCTGTGTTAAGAGCCCTGTAAAAAAAAAATCAGTGTACACAAAGCTTTAATGGGCAGTGTCTGCCTTCTGTGGAATTACATTTCCATTTTCTTCATATTTCAAAGGTAAAATACATTACAGCTTTAGATCTCTGTGGAAAAAACTGTCAATGATTTTGGCTATTTATCCACAGGCTATACCTACAGTGAGGAAATAATCTTCATGCTGTAAGTTGTGAAATATTTAGCACAACAGCAGTTAGATCACAGCTTGGGCTCTAAAATGTCACAGCAATACAAGGAATAAATACTAAGACATACATCATTACAGCAAATTTACTCTATCTGCTGTCTTGCATAGTTAGACACCAGCTCGTGTCAAACTGGAAGCCGTGCAAACATATTAGCATAGCACTGTTCTCAGCCTAGCAAGTCCAAGATCTCAGCAGGGATTATTTGAGCCCAGCACTGTCCTGGCTGGCCCACATAACTTCAGTCTGCCACGGACTCACATCCCACTGGCATGGAGCCTGGGACTGGCTCTGCCTGCAGGGACCGTGCATGAACGCTCGTAGTTACTTGGAGTAGCATGAGGAGCCATTCATTCACACACAGGAACTCCACTTACACATATTTCATTACACTGCCACAACTCCTAAGATTAGCAAATCAATCCAGATCCACTCATGAAGTACAGCTACTTCATTCTGCTTTGGCACAGCCAGTATTCCCTGGAAGGTCTGTGCCATTTTGCTTTTAAAAATTAAAAGAGCTGATCTGCACCATTAACAACTGCAACACAATGAAAAGCTAATTAGATTTCCAGCTAATTTTAAATTGCTTCAGATAATCAAAACAAGGAAAAACAGACTATATAATACATCCTTACCGTATTTCACATATCAGTTTCCCAAAAGAGAAAAGGCATTCCATGACAGTTGCATAAAAACAAAAATTATCTTTCCGTTGTAGGGATTGACAACATGAGAGAAAGAAAAGGCAACCAAAGATGCTTTTGGTATTATGAATTCAAAATCAGAGCTCATACACACATTGAGAGAAAGCAAATCAGAATGAATGTGAAAACACGGCATTGCGTTATTCATACAACATTCTCTGCCTCGTGGTAATACAATGAGAAGAATGAATGCACTGAAGAGCTTATCAAATTTTGAATCATCGATGTGAAGTCCCTTAGAAATAGCTGTTTCAAGGTACTACTGAACACAAAATGATGTACAATAACAAAACCAGATACGTGCATTTTTCAGTTCAACATTCTGAAATACATTCAGTGGTACAAAGGATGACTATATGTTCAGTTTGAGGCTTCAACGCTCCTCCTAGAAGTGCTCACAGTGCACAAAAGGTTCAAGTATAGCTTCTTAGATTACAGTCACAAACCACAACCAGTTGATATATGTACTTTCACATTTGTATGCATTTTCATACATGTGAAAGGAGAGAGGAAGATTTCACCCTAGTGGAAGGAAAGCGCTGGGTAGGTAACTCGTGGAGACTGAACGTTTTATACAATACAGGAAATTGTAGAGCAAATGCTGTTTTTTTCAACATTTTTTATCTGTTCCAGGATCACTGGTCATATGTCAACTCTAATACGTCAGTATCTTGGAAATCACAGAGCAGTCCAGATTAGACTTTTAACTGGAAAAGTGAGTCAACTTAAGGAATTACTGTCACAGTTAATACAAACAAAGCCAGTTCTGACCTACTGACTTAATAGAAGTACATGAGAATCGAAAACAGCAATCCACTGGCATAGTGACTCACTGCTCCCTAGATCCTGTATGTTACATTCCTTCCTTCCTTTGCAAATATACAGAGACACTGTGATTCCATCTTTTAAAGTCAGATAGAAACTACAATAAAAGTCAAGAAAGCTCTCTCTACATAGAAAGCACAGCACTGCATTCTAAAAAGAAATGAGAGGTAACGTGGCATTCCAACACTCACATCATCCACTTTAAATAGTATGTTTTTTACAAGCATAAAACAATACCATACCCTTTTAACTGCATTTCCATTCTCAGAAACTTGGATTATCTCAGTTACTGGATGCTTGCTTTAGCACAGTCAGCTTCATGGGCCAACTTGATTCTTTTGAAATACCGCTATGTGTCGTTTGTTAAGTTGTAAACAACCTTCTTTCCCAGATGTGCTTGTGAAATTCCCTAGAATTAATCCAGGCTATTTTGTTTTTGACTGATGTTACTTTTCCTTTATGAAGTTTTTTTTCTTTATAATCTGGTAATGAAGCTAAACAGTCTGCAAAGAATTCCGTATGACACAGCAAGCAGCTGCAATAGTCCCTAACTTTCACACACACGTGCCCTGCGGTACAATATTTTCTGAAAAACTGCACCCCTTTCTGGTGACTGCAGCTAATCTGCAGGAACACAGTCAGAAGGCAGGAATGGACTTACAAATTAGACTTCAGCCTAGGCCAGCTGTTTTTCTAGCTTTATTCCCTTTATGACCATCTGTCCCACCTGCTAGTATATACTTCCCCTCACACAGGATACTAAAATGATTTGCCGTGCTGGCTGACATACGAGCATAGATGGAAAATGAACTGGATTAAATCCAACTTTGTGCCACTCAATATTTGGAGCTTTGGAGAAGGACCTTCTTGACTGCCAGTAAAATTTAAATCTGTCTCAAGTCTACTTCAATTTATGCCCACTTCACCTATGACCCAAACACTAGCAGAGATTGTTGTCACTCTGCCTATGCCCCTTCTGGACTCCACCAACCACTGAGAGGAAACAGGAGAGTTACACAAGACTCTCCTTTCTGTAAAGCAACTTCTGTCTTTTAAATACACTAGTACACTCTACTGAATAAACCTACTGAGATCTATCTTGTCTGTTTGCTAAAGGCAAATCCACAAAATCCTGCACTCTATACAGGTGCAATCTTGGGGTTTCGAAACTAGATGGATGCCTGTTTATGTTACCACTTGCTAAAGCAGATATTTGGGCTAAAAAGTCACGCTAAAAAAAAACCCACAAAACTAACCTTGTGCAAAACTCCCAGAGAGACACAATACAAATGAATGAGGAAGTGAGGAATTGGGAAAGGTTGAGAATAGGGGAAAAAAATTAGATGGCGTGTTGCTGCATGTCTTCATGTAGTCATGGGCTCTAAAGTTTTCTTTGCTGTTTTTGATGAGATTAGCAGCAGAATCAATCTTATCAAGGAGGTCAACAAATATTCTGCAGCATTTATTTTCCATACTGGTTAAAGCATGACAGCTAAAAAGGAAATAACTACTTAAGCATAATTCAGAAGACTACACAGCATGACACTGCCCAAAAAGTCAGGAAGAACTTTACAGTTACAAAGTGTATTGTTAGAATTTCATCTCATTTACTGCTGACAATAACAGGAATAACAGGAAAGGAACTGCTGAAAAAGCACAAGAGAGGTCAACAGTTTTGGAGTATTATTTTTAAACACATGCAAAAGATAGATGAGGCTTTTAAAAGACTGTAGAACAGGCAAAGCAAGGGGATGAAAAATTACGTGCGTGACACAAGGAATAAAGACAAGAAGTATAAAGGAGAGGGGAGAATAAAAAGGAATAAGAACATAAGGCAGAATTTAGAAGGACACATTTTGATGGACTTTATGTTTCCAACAGAAAATTTTAAGTTGACATCTGTGCCCATACATTGTCTAAAATTAATTGCTAGTTAACAGCACTACGTTCAGTAAGAAGGCAAAGGAAAACCATGGTATCTTAACTGAGCCCAGTTTGAAGCATAAGATTAAAGAAAAATAGATTCATTTTTACATCAGTTCCTGGCAGCTGCTCAGCATTCCTTACTGTCATAGCACTGTTTGCTAGCTGAGTGCTGAAAACGTGCCAGAGCTGTGATGCGCTTTACTGTCCTGAGATCTGTAGGTCTGCAATTTTGAGACCAGATGGGAAAAAACTACTTTTGAAAACCATTTATGATGCTAAAGTTTATCAAAGAATAAAGTGTCACGTAGACTTTGGGGGGAAAAAAAAACAAAACAAAAAACAACCACAAAAAAACTTACAGAATTTCTTACAGAATTATAATATTTAAAGAAACCAACACAAAGAACACCTGCAAAACAGTCACAGCCACATTGTGGATGCTCCCTGACACCAACTGAAATCCCTCAGGCCCTCAAGTTCTAGCAAACAACATACCTTGAAAGATTCAGTCATGTGCTTTGTTGCTTCCTCTGAACATCCTCCGGCCATGCACTTGTTCTGACAGCCCTAGAAGGAATACAAATCAAATTCAATTTGTGTTGCAGAAAGGTTGATACACATTCAATTATTTTTAAGAGAGACTGTATAGAATGAATTATCAGTAAATATATTGGAAAGATCATTCTTTGTAGTTTCTTAGCATAACTTTCCGTCTTCCAGGCTTACAATTTTGCTTCAGTTGCATTACTTTGCACAGCTGAGTTTTAGCAGGAGTGACAACATCTTAGACTGGATTATTAATCTGAAGTGCAGTAAGGCTATAGACAGCATCATACACCTTTTATTCAAAGCTGAGTAAATACATTATGTTTTTACACATTTTCATCAGATCACATTGCCTCTACTAAGGCATTCATCCCAGAAGATTTGGTTTTCCTTTTTCTCAGAAATGCCTGACTAGGAGAACAGAAGAGAGAGGAAGAAGATTTTATTAAACAAAGGCAGTGATAAGGAACATTCATCTATAAAAATACATACTCAAAGTATTTTGAATTACCTATTATGTTGAACTTCACTGTCCTGCCACTGATCACATTAAAATAAAAAACTACAAGAAAAGAAGTGACAGTTGTTCTGTTCAGCAACAGAAGGTCAAAAAGCACAGGTGCAAGCCATCTATCTACAACGAAAATCCTGTTTTCAAAGCATCAGCCTTTGTGGGCCCTCCTGCATGAGGACCACCTTCCTTGCTAGTGATATCAAAACCAACAGCACGCACGGAAGGAGACAAATACAGCTTGACAGCACTTCTTGTTTCTGAGCAGCATCTTTGATGTCTGGGGGATGGGCCACAAAGGGAAGGTGGAGAATGACTAGAGGGAAGTGCCACTGCTGAGAGAGGGTGGCAGAAGGGTGAGCTAGATGCTGAGATGTGGCAGGGGATGGATGGGCACAGGGACAGTCAGGTTGGTCACAGGGCTGTCTGAAACAGTGAGGAAGGACAGAGGCACTAAGGGATGATGATGCCAAGGCTGAAAGACATCAGCTGTGCAAGAAAAGGGTCTGGGCTCCTCATCACTTGGTAGCTGCCTCTGACAGTCTCATTGCTCAGCTGTGTTGTGCCTCAGCTGGGAAGCCCCAGCCCAGGAAGCCCCACGTCAGAAGTTCATTTCTTTAAAGGAAAAGCACACTGGAAACCTGTGGTCAGTCTGAGACTGGTGCCTCAAGGGGTTTCCAGGGAGCAGACTTCACTCCAAGGATGCAAGGTGGGTAGCAGTGCCAGGGAGACCTGGCCCCCAGAATCTGCAGCAGCCACCACATCCTGGGAGCTGGAACTGCATGGGATGCAAAGCAGGACATACACAAAGCAAACTGCATGATTTTCCCCTTTTCTGCAGACCACAGGAGTACGGCAGACAGAAGAAAAGAGTAGTATCTCCATCGGGCCTTTAATGGATAGCAGGCTTGCTACCAACAGAAGACAAAGCAAACACCCAGCCACAGATCTCACTTTCTTCTCTCTCTGTTCCCAAAATCCCAGAGAGGCCATAATGACCCTCCAGACTTTTCATTCCATCAGCTTCAGCCCTTCTGTTCCTCTGTTGTTCTTCTTTTTTGTTTTTCCCGCTCAGCCTTCTATAGTGAGGCATGCAATCACAACTACAGACTTCTCCTCATTAACTAAAGGAGTATCTGCTGAAAGAAATCGAAAATGTCTTTATGATGCACCAACATAATTCCTGCTAAAACCTTACCTTAAAAGAGGTAAACCTTACCTTAGAAGAGGGCAAGAGAAAAGCCTGCTGGCAGTGGCAAAGGAAGAAGGCACAGAGACAGCGGCAGTGAAGCACCATAAGGAAGCCACCACCCAATCTAGCACTGCTCCAACCCTGCCATACCCTGCTGCAGCAGCAGAGAGGATAAAGTGCCACACTCTGGCCCACTCCCTGCTGCCACCAAACAGCAGCCAGACCTCAGGTGCCATTTTGTTCTCCTCCATCTTACACAGTACCCAGTTCTACAACTGGCTTACTGCAGCAGAAACCTCCTGGCACCCACAAGCACCAAAGCTGCAGGCTCCTTGAGCCCTGCCTCTCCTTATCTCATCAACAGCAACACTGGTGGCAGCCATGCCGATGTCACCTTATGGGCAGTCCCATACTGCCCAAATTGCACCTGCAGCTCTCACAGGGCACGTGCAGATGATGGGCTGGGCACCCTAGCACAGAACCCACTGCAGACAGCGGGAACAGCAGCATCACTTACAGGATTTGTAAGTTGAGAGGTCATAGATAGTTCTGAAAAGATGTTTAAGTAATAAACCTTCTCTGTTGTCTAGTTTTTTTATTTATTTAATGGCTCTGGAAATTAAATGTTTTAATAATTAATCTTTTTAGTTGTCATGTTCTTTTCGTCATTCATTCACTTATTTTAATGGTGAAATCTCAGATCGAATTTTATCTCTCAAAAGAAAGTAGAAGCAATGGCTCTAATATCAATTTAATGACCTTCGGTAAGAACCAAGCTCTAGATCTCTAGACTTTTATCTGCAGAGATACACAAATAAATAACAACAAAATATCAACTATTAATTTAAAGAAATACCCTCTTGTTCCTCCAGGAATTCAACAGCACCTCCCAGATCTGTGTCATCATCCAATTTGCTGAGAATGCACTCCATTTGTGCTCACTGATCACTGATAAAAATGCTGAACAGGACTGGCTCTAGAACATTTGGTGAACCATCACCAAGCAGATGCAGCCCCATTCACTACAATCCTCCGAGCTCTGCCATTCAGCCAGCTATCACCCAGCATAGTGTGAGCTTGTTCATGAGCTCTCCTAGCTGGACAGTTTGTCAGGAAGGATGCATGGACACTATCAAAGACCTCATTAACATCCAGAAAGATTACATCTACAGCCTTCACTTAATCCATTAAGCAGTGACCTTATCATAGAAGGAGATCAAACTATTAAGATGGTAGTTATTACTAAGATAGGACTAATTAAGCCAACTGAATTTTATTTGTGCTGCAGTGAATCAGAATGGAGGCTGTGTTTACATCAACTGCCAGCAGGATAAGCACGAACTTCTCAAGCAGCCTTAGCTCCATTTGTGACATCTGTCTAATATCCAGAACATAAAATTGGATTTTCTAATAATTACCGGCAATAGCAGTCATGGTACTCATGGTACGCCATTAAAATAAGTACTCAGTCCTGATTCTTCAGTTTCTTCCCATTTCTGCTTCACAAAGTCATCGTAAAGAACGTGTCTGACAGAAGAGACAGCAGCTGGATGTTGTTTCATCTTCTCTTCCATCTTTAAAGCTTGTAGGTGAATTTCAAGTGTGGATTGCCTATGGGAATGGTCTTTAGGGGCTCAGCCATTTAGTTCACAGCTCTCACTGAACTCAGTGAAGTCAACAGCTCATTTTTTGAGCGTGTGCCATGGGTCCAATCCCGTTCTCCATTAAGTCATTCAGTTTCACAGATTTAACTTACATTTAAAGCAAGTAGCTAATTGCCTTTGTTAACCACACTGAGATTATGTTGAGTTAATCCCACAGTAGTAGAAAGGCATACCACAATTGCTTTCTAATAGACGGAGTCATATTTTAATGGCTCCATGCATGGCTTTTAAATATGAAACATGTTGTTAAATACAATAGAGAAAATTGCTCCCTGGTTTAGTGCCAACATTGCCAAGAGAGATGTGCCAAGCATAAATATGCCCTCTGTGTTTAATAGCATGGTAGATTTAAAACTGCATCCATTACAACACTGATGTTATCCTAAAGATACATTTAAACCACTGGGTCAATGTCTCCTCAAAATGATTCAGCTGTCTAAAACCTGTGTCAGCCCTAAGTATCAAGGCATTACATAAGGATGAAGGTAGCTCCTAAGGTGTCACATGAAGTTGTACAGAGCTAGCAACATTTCATAGCATATGTAGTTGTTCTTTTAAACTAAAAAAAAGGGATATTTAGGTTGAATGTTGGGAAGAAATTTTTTACTCAGAGGGTGGTGAAATCCTGGCACAGGCTGCTCAGCAAAGCTGTGGATGTCCCATCCCTGGAGGTGTTCAAGGCCAGGTTGGATGGGGCCCTGGGCAGCTTGAACTGGTGGATGGCAGCCCTGCCCATGGCAGGGGGGTTGAGCTGGATGATCTTAGTGGTCCCTTCCAACAGAAGCCATTGCATGATTCCATGATTATAGGCATTAGTCTCATCCCAACATGCAAAGGACTGCTGTTCCTGTGTAACACTTACCAGCATGTTTCGTACTTTGAAGTTTTCACCCGTTAGATTGTCTCCAAACCCAAACATTCACTCCTTGCATTTGGTCCATCAGACATAAGAGTTTCCAATATCTTTTAGTATTAGGATGTTCCAATCAACGCTTCTCGGCTGTTACAGACATGAGACCCTGTAACCAAAATACTGACTTGCAATCAACTTCACTATTTCAATTTTTCCATGTCTCTAGTTATGCTCATCTTTTATGGTGTCCTCCTGCTGCTCATGGCTTCTTCAAATCTGAGAACCTACTTTTTTTATGCAGTCAGGTCACCAAACCCCTACCTGAAAGGATATACTGCCTAAATACTCCTAGAGCCAGACCACATGAGTCCAAGTTCCTCCTACACCCTTACACTAGATGGCTTTTGAGACCCAGTGGTAGAACCAATGACAACATTCTCATTTAGGATCACTTAATCTATAAACTGTGATTGTGTCAAACTGTTGTTCTTAGGATTTAGCTACCCCATTATCCCATAGGCTAGTTCTCACTTATGAAATACGAACTGAAGATGATTTCAACTCAAGCTGCAAATTGCACTTCCTTAGCCTGCAGTGTATTACACACCATTTAATAAAAAAACTGGCACTGGTTCACCAAAAAAAAAAAAAAAAAATATTACAGTTGCCTCAATATGTACTTTATCTTTTTTTTTTTTTTTTTCAAAGAAACGGGATTCTTTTATCAGTACTGTGCTTATTTTCCCATGATGTTTGCTAACTCTACTCACCACTGGGGAACAGAAAACTTTCCCGAGTGGA